TTGTTTTTTTTTTAAATAAAATCAAGTTTTCAGTAATATAGTTAGATTATATTTCTAAATAGAAAACATGTTAAAAATTAATTAATTTTATGGCACCCACCCTCTTCTCATGCGTATTTCTTTAGTTCTTCCCTTAAGTTATTCTAGACCTAACCACCCACTCAAAAGTCACTCTAAAATATAAAAGGAGACAGAAGGGAGCCAGGAAGGGAGTTTCTGGAACAGGGAAATAAACATGACAGCAGGAGGCTGGCTACGGATGGTTTCAGACTGTTCAGGCCTGTCTGGGCTTTGCCAATCAACTCCAGCTTCGGGTTTCTTCTGCAATGAGTAATTAGTGTGCACAGGGTGGCCTGTTATCCACATTCCACCGTAAGCGCTGCCTTTAACGAGGGACTTGCTCTGGCCAGTTGCCTCTCCTGATGTATATCAGGTCTATGAATGCAGAGGCACGAAGGGCAATCCCGTGTACCTGTCCCTTCCCCCGCACTGGCTGTCCTGTCCACCTGCTGTAGTGCTGGCCGCTGAGGGTTTTCAGAGGATGGAAGGAGATGGTAGGGTTTGTGCTCCTGCCCAGCAGATATAGGGTGACAGGGCGCCAGAGTCCCTAGGAAGGCAATGAAGGCCCAGGCCCAGGCAGCCAGTTGCCATCATATTGCAGCGGGTGGCCCAGGCTTTGTGTGCAGGAATCAGCAGAATGGTGAAGAGAGAAGCCCCCAAATCCCAGAACTGGCAGGCACAGCCCTCCACAATTTGGCCCCACCCACATCCCCAGGTATATTTCCATCAGGCAGCCTGGGAGTGACCCTGACTTCCCCTGCCCTGCACCTTCTCCCCTAGAGGCCTCTGCTCACCTAAGCCTGGAAGGTCTCACCCTGCTTATCTTTACAAGACTCAGCTCAAATTCTACCTTCTCCAAGAAGCCGCTCTAGATTTTCCCCAGTAAGAAGCAGTCACACTCTCTGCCTTCTTTATTAGGAAATCATCATCTCGCTCCTCTCATGGACTGCCTTGTATCAAAATGTCACTGGGGCACAAATCTGCCTCTTTCACCAGATTGTGCACTCCTGGTGGGTAGAGGTTACGGCCCCTCCTGCCCACCCCCACCCCCAACCCCACCTTCCCCGGCCACATCCTTGTAACCAATATGTCATTAAACAATTTGCTGAGCATCTGCTATGTGTCAGGCACTGTTTTAGGCCCAGGGCAGTTCCTGACTACTCAGATGTTGGCTCGGTTGAATGGAAAAACCCAATAATGTCTGCATTTTACTGCTGACCACCTGTGCTTTGAGCTGCCTGCTCCAGCCAGAAGTCCTTCTCTCAGGAGGGGCACAGCTGGCATCTGTTCGCTCTCAGTCAGGCTTGCTGGAGTCAGTGTTCTCTAGCAAAGGCCAAGTCTTAGAACAGGGTGACTGCCCATTGTTGCTGCACCTGTGCATGTGTGACTGGAGCCAGCCTTGGGGCTGCCAGGTGAGTGCCACTGGAGTAGAGGCGGGGGCAGGGCGGGAGGGGAGAGGGGCCACTTGCAGCGGTGCCCAGAAAGCATCCTCCATCCCCAGCCTGACTTTGATTAGCCTTGTGTAAACACTGCTGCTCTCAGCCAGCCCTTTCTCTGCAGGTTTAATTTCTGGGATTCTGTGCAAATGATAACTCTCTCTCCTGTCTATCTGTGGTGAGCGTGTGTTCCTGGAAACCAGGCCATAAAGAAGAGAGTCGTTAAGTGGTCTGAATTTTCTCATTAATGCAGTGCTGTAGGAAGGCTTGATCCCTGACCAAACCATTCAGCATCAAAGATTTGACCAGCCATATGTCACAAATGTGAAGGTACAACTAGGATTGCTAGCAGCAAAAATTAGGCTCCAGGTCCTACAAGAGCTCCATCTGCCTGGATTTGAATCCTGTCTTGATGACTCACTAGCTGTGTGACCTTAGGGAAATTATTTGATTCACCTGTGCCTCAGTTTCTTTATCTGTCAAGTAAGGATGACAAAAGTACATACTTTACATGCAAAAAAAAAAAAAAGAAATTGGACTCTTACCGTACACCCTTTACAAAAGTTAATTCAAAATGGAGCAAAAACTCTTAGAAAAAGTTTTCCCCTAGAGTTTACAACCATAGGGGAAAAGCTTCATGACACTGAGTTTGGCAATGAGATTTTGAATATGATATCAAAAGAACAGGCAAAAAAGAAAAAAATAGATAAGTAGGACTTCATAAAAATTTACAACTTTTTTTTTTTTTTTAAGACAGAGTCTCACTCTGTCACCCAGGCTGGAGTGCAGTGGCACGATCTTGGCTCACTGCAACCTCCACCTCCCGGGTTCAAGCAATTCTCCTGCCTCAGTCTCCCTACTTTTGTGCATCAAAGGACACTATCAACAGAGTGAAAAGGCAGGCAACCCATGGAATGGGAGAAAATATTTGTAAATTCGTATCTGGTAAGAGATTAATATCCAGAATATCTCTCTTTGAGAGAGAGACAGAGACATGGTCTCAGTTTGTCACTCAGACTGGAGAGCAGTGGTGTGATCATGTCTCACTGTAGCCTCGATCTTTCGGGCTCAAGTGATCCTCCCGCCTCAGCCTCCCAGAGTGTTGGGATTACAGGCACGAACCAAGTATTCAGAATATCTAAGAACTGCTACAATTCAATGAAAACAAACAAACAAACAACCCACTTAAGAAAATAGGCAAAGGACTTGAATAGATATTTCTTCAGAAAAGATATACAAATGGCCAATACGAACATAAAAAGATGCTCAATGTCATTTATCACTAGGTAAATGCAAATCAAAACCACAATGAGATTCCACTTCACACTCACTAGAATGGCTATTATAAAATAAAGAAAATTTTTTTTCAGGTCAGACAGGTGATGTGTTGACATTGTAACAAGGTTCAGAGGGTGGCACATTCACATATGCATGTGAACACCCAATCATCATGCTTATGAATTACAAAACGATCTGGTTATTATCAAATAAAATGTTTAAGGCCAGGCGCAGTGGCTTATGCCTGTAATCCCAGCACTTTGGGAGGCTGAGGCGGGCAGATCACCTGAGGTCAGGAGTTTGAGGCCAGCCAGACCAACATGGAGAAACCCTGTCTCTACTAAAAATACAAAATTAGCTGGTATGGTGGTGCATGCCTGTAATCCCAGCTACTAGGGAGGCTGAGGCAGGAGAATCGCTTGAACCTGGGAGGTGGAGGTTGCGGTGAGCCGAGATCGTGCCATTGCACTCCAGCCTGGGCAATAAGAGCGAAATTCCGTCACCAAAAAAAAAAAAATTGAAAGAAAACAGAAAGTAACAAGTATTGATGAGGATATGGAGAATCTGGAACTCTTGTGCACTGCTGGTGGGAATGTAGAATGGTGTAACTAACTGCTATAGGAAATCCTATGGCAGTTCCTCAAAGAATTAAAAATAGAATTACCGTATAATCCAAACAATTCCACTTCTGGGTATATACATAAAATAACTGAAAACGAGGACATGAGCAGATATTTGTACATCCATGTTTATAGGGCATTGTTCACAACAGCCAAAATGTGGAAGCAACTTAAGTGTCTGTTGATGGAAGAATGGAAAATAAGATGTGGTGTATACATACAAAGGAATATTACTCAGCTTTACAAAAGAAGGAAATTTGGATATATGCTACAACATGAATTCATTCTTCTAATGAGTGAAGACATTATGCTAAGTGAAACAAGCTAGCCACAGAGGATACAACTGTATGCTTTCACTTATATGAAGTTCTTAGAATAGTCAAATTCACAGAGACAACAGAAATATGGTTGCAGGAGCTGGTGGCAGAGGGAAATGGGGATTTACTATTTGATGGATATGGAGTTCAGTTTAGCCAAGTGGCAAAACTCCTGGAAATGGATGATGGTAATGATTGTACAACAATGTGAACATACTTACTGCCACCAAACTGTACACCTAAACATGGTTAAAATGGTAAATTTCATGTTATATATATTTCGCTACAATAAAAAAGGCATCTACCTTATTAACCTGTTGTGAGGATTAAGTGAGTTAATAAGTGTAAAGCACTTAGAATGGTACTGATATAATACTAAGTTCTACATAAGTGTTAGCCCTTTCTTTCTTTTTTTTTTTTTTTGAGACAGAGTTTCACTCTTTTTGCCCAGGCTGGAGTGCAATGGCATGATCTCGGCTCACTGCAACCTCTGCCTCCCGGGTTCAAGCGATTCTCTTGCCTTAGCCTCCCGAGTAGCAGGGATTATAGGTGTGCACCACCACGCCTGGCTAATTTTTTTCGTGTTTTTAGTAGAGACAGGGTTTCTCCATGTTGGTCAGGCTGGTCTTGAACTTCTGACCTCAAGTGATCTGCCTGCCTTGGCCTCCCAAGGTGTTGGGATTACAGGCGTGAGCCACCATGCCTGGCCCCCGCCATTGTTATAAATATTCTGTTAGTTATACAAGGGAACAAATGAATGAAGTACATAAAACCTAGAGAAACAGGAGTGTACTGGATCATATATATAGCTTATTATAGAAATGCTACTTATCATCCAAATTAATTTTAATAAAAATCTGATTTGCTCTCCTAGAATTACAAAGGGTTAGCTTAATGGATGTGTTGAAAGACTCAGGTCCACTTTTTAAACATACTGTTAAAGCTGGGGAGATGCTTCTTTTTCTCTGGGGCATGTGGAGTTTCCAAAATCAAGCCGTCTAGGGGTTAAACATGGGGCTTTGGAGTCCGTTGTTGGGCTCCAATTCTAGCTTCACCACTTAGGTGTGTAATTTTGAGCAAACTAGTTAATGTCAAGCCCCAGGTTTCCTTCCTATAAAACGGAGGTAATGCTAGCACCTAGCTCTTAGGCTTGTGCAGATTGAATGAGGTTATACAGGTAAAGTGCCTGCCACACACTAAGCACTCAATAAGTTCAGCTGTTATTGACATTACCTTTGACCTCATAGTTGGAGTTGACCATGTTTCTCTCTGATCTTTCCTACTTCTAGGTTTGTTAAAGACTCCAAGTACAACGACTCAGGACCTGCTCCAATGGAGCACATTCAGAAAAAGGAGTGCAGGCAAATTGCTCTTTCTCCCCTTTGCTGCCTTGGTGCCTACTTAACACTGTTGACAGCCACCAGAGCACTTCCTACATTTTACCGACACCGTCAAACAAGTAGCAGGTTATTGATCGGGACTTGCAAGGAAACTTCACCTTCCTAATCTCTGGCTAAAAGGGTAACAGATAATTTATAATTCTCTCTCCTTTTCTATATTTTTCTAATTTATATAAAACTCCGATATTATTGTTAGAATGGGAAAAATAATTCAAAAGGCATATTTCTTACAGTATTTTCTACTTGACAAAGTGGCTATCTGGGCTGGGTATGGTGACTCAGGCCTATAATCCCAGCACTTTGGGAGGCCCAGGCGGGAGGATCACCTGAGGTCAGGAGTTCGAGACCAGCCTGGGCAACAAGCTAAAACTCTGTCTCTACTAAAAATACAAAAATTAGCCAGGCATGGTGGCATACACCTGTAATCCCTGCAACTCAGGAGGTTGAGGCATGAGAATCACTTGAACCTGGGAGAGGGAGGTTGCAGTGAGCCAAGGTCACACCTCTGTACTCTAGCCTGGGTGACAGAGCAAGACTCTGTCTAAAAAAACAAAACAAAAAAAGGTAACCTAAAGGTTCCTTCGTGGGGGGACATTGGCTGAAAATAGCAATGAAAGAGTTAAATGCCTTGAGTATTAACATGCGGGGAGAAATTAGGCAGTACAGAATGAGTGGTGACTATTCAGTGGAACAAGGCTGACAATACTTTTAAACTTAACCAAATTTATAATGAAGATGGTAGTAGCAATATAGTTGGCCCTCGCATCTGTGGGTTCTGCATTTGTAGGTTCAACCAACCATGGATCAAAAATATGTAGAAAAAAACAATTAATAATAGCAATATAGACCAGACGCAGCAACTCACATCTGTAATCCAATACTTTGGGAGGCTGAGGTGGGAGCATTGCTTGAGCCCAGGAGTATGAGACCAGCCTGGGCAACATAGTGAGACCCCATCTCTACAAAAAATTTTTTAAAAATTAGTTGAGTATGGTGGCACATGTCTATAGTCCTAGCTGCTTGGGAGGCTGAGGCAGGAGGATTGCTTGAGCCTAGGAGTTTAAGGTTATAGTAAACTACAATCATGCCACTGAACTCTAGCCTGGGCAACAGAGCAAAACTCTGTCTCCACCAAGGTGACATTTTCCACCCTGTGTCCTGTTCCCCAATAAAAACAAATTCACAAAAAAACAAAAAACAAAACAAAACAAAAACCATCTCAAAAAACAAAAACCCACCATGTTGGCCAGGCTGGCCTCCAACTCCTGGCCTCAAGGGATCCTATAATCTCAGCAGTTTGGGAGGCCGAGGTGGGCAGATCACTTGAGGCCAGGAGTTTGAGACCAGATTGGGCAACATGGCAAAGCCCCATCTCTACAAAACATACAAAAATTAGCCAGGCGTAGTGGCATGTGCTGCCTGTAGTCCCTGAGGTATGGTGACTCAGGCTATATATCCCAGCATTTGGGGCCCAGGGCGGCGAGGATCACCTGAGGTCAGGAGTTCGAGGACCAGCCTGGCAACAAGCTAAAACTCTGTCTCTACTAAAAATAAAAAATAGCCAGGCATGGTGGCATACACCTGTAATCCCTGCAACTCAGGGAGGTTGAGCATTGAGAATCGCTTGAACCTCGGGAGAGGAACGGTTGCAGTGAGCCAAACGGCACACCTCTGTACTCTAGGCCTGGGTGACAGAGCAGACTCTGTCTAAAAAAAAAAACAAAAAAATGGGTACCTAAAAGGTCCTTCGTGTGGCGGGAACATTGGCTGGAAAATAGCCAATGAAAGATAAATGCCTTGATGTATTAACATGCGGGGAGGGAAATTAGGCCAGTACAGAATGAGTGGTGACTAATTCGTGGAACAAGGCTGACAATACTTTTAAACCTTTAAACCAAAATTTTATAATAAGCATGGTAGTATGCAATATAGTTGGCCCCTCGCATCTGGTGGGGTTCTGCATTTGTTAGGTTCAACCAACCATGGATCAAAATATGTAGAAAAAAAACAATTAATAATAGCAATATAGGACCAGACGCAGCAAACTCACATCTTGTAATCCAATACTTTGGAGGCTTGAGGTGGGAGCATTGCTTGAGCCCCAGGAGTATTGAGGACCAGCCTGGGGCTAAATAAGTGAGGACCCCCAGGATCTCTACAAAAAATTTTTTATAAAAAGTTAGCTTGATATGGTGGCACAGTGTCTATAAGGTTCCTAGTGTTGGGAGCTGAGGCAAGGGAGGATTGCTTGAGCCTTAGGAGTTTAAGGGTTATTAGTTAAACTACAATCATGCCACTGAACTCTAGGCCTGGGCAACAGAGCAAAACTCTGCTCTCCACAAAAAAAAAAAAAAATATATAGTATAT